AGCTGAATATGATTGAAGAGCATTTTTAACACATCTAAGCCAGTAGTCGAAATTATCCTTATTCAGAACTGGGATTTTACAGAATGCTAGGTTCTTGTTAGTTGCCATGCTGGCTTTCAATTGCTTAATTGCTCAATACTTCACCACTTCGCAGGGTAGAGATGAGAACTGGCGTTCCTTTTGATGTGCGCGGGACCTCCAAGCTGCTCCGGCAAGATCGGTCTCACCCCCTCCTCTTTCTCTCGGCTCCAAGCTCCGGCTTGCGGCTTGCTTCACAAGGGAAAAAGATGTTCTCAAGACGAAAGGCACATAAGAATTCTCTCCGCCAGAAAACACAATCTTTCAGACTGATTTTACAGGCACTGGAGAAAAAAAAATCAGGAGCCTTGCTTGGACACCATTTAATCCAATCGCGATTTTAAAAAAAAAATTCTTTCTACCTTAGAAAAATCCTAACACACATTGGTTGCTTTTACTCTGGTCTCATTGCGCGTCAGAAGCTTACTGGCGCCCATAACCTTTTGTTATAGTTTTTAAAGAAATTCAGCAGAGTTAAAAAACAGCTTAGCGATGCCAGAGTTCAATAATCAGACCCAGAGTCCATGTGTGTTTAAAAATATAAAAGTTTACTACAATTCTACCATAGGGAAGGGTAAACTTGGGAGAAAATAACAGAGAGCTAAATCAGCTACATCCTCTCTAGACTAGAAGAACTGGAAAAAGATGGCCCTCCAACGTGCTTCTACTCCAAGGCGAACAAAGACGGGAAGAGGGCTCATAAAATGCAAAGTTACTAACACTTCGCTCCCAATCAAACTCTTAGAACAGGGATGCTTTCGCGGGCTAACAGACTTGAGCTAACACTGGCTAACACAAAGACAGGTGATTTCCTGTAACAACAGAACAGACATTTAACCCCATGCATACACATTGAGTGTTTTCAACATGCAAATACCCAACACATCCCCACAGTTCCCCCCAAAACCGAGCATGAGCTGTGGAGGTCGACTGGGGGGGTGTTGGTGTTGGGGCTTCTGCAGGCGGGAGGCCTGCTAGGCAGAGCGGTTGTGTTCTGTTGCCTCAGGGGTCTTCTCCCGCTGAAATAGAATCACGTTTCTTTGCTCACCGCACGGTCAGGTTTCCCCCCTTCTTCTCTTCCTTGATTGGGTATTGGTGTGGCCCTCTTTTCTGCACACAGGGACAGGTGAGCAAGAGAGACACCCACCAGCATGGAGATCTCTCGCGTCGTCTCTCCGTGAAGGCCTTGATGCAAAAATGTGTTGTAGAAATATATAATTTTATTATGTGTGTATGAAGAGAGAAGAGGAGACTGGATCTATACCCCGTGGCCCTTCACTACCCGAAGGTGTCCCAGAGCAGCCTACAATCTCCTTTCCCTTCCCCTCCCCACAACAGACAGACACCCTGTGAGGAAGAAGAGGAAGAAGAAGAGATCGGATTTACACCCCATGGCCCTTCACTACCCGAAGGAGGAGTCTCAGAGCGGCTGACAATCTCCTTCCCCTCCCCACAACAGACAGACACCCTGGGAGGGAGGTGGGGCTGGGAGAGCTCTGGCAGAAACGGCTCTTGCCTGTTTTTTGTGTTTTCTTTTTGTTTTGGTTTTGCATGTTGGAGCTTTCTTTTTGTATCGTAATTGGCCCTTAGTTTTCAGGGCTTAAATACTAGGTGGCACAACTGTGGAGCGACTTCACTGATTATTTGGTTTTTTTTTAAGTATCCAACACTTATTAGAGGAATGGAATAAAGTGATGATACATATAAATCCAGACAACATAATCAGTGAATAAAATTCTGAAGCAAAATATAGATATAATTATGTTTGATTAAGGTCAGACAAGGGGCCCTGGCAGCTCAGAGGTTAAGATGCTGAGCCGCAGACTGGAAGGTCAGTAGTTTGGCAGTTCGAGACCCGAGTGTGCCGCATGACGGAGTGAGCTCCTGTCTCAGGCCCCAGCTCCTACCAACCTAGCAGTTTGAAAGCAAGAAATTGCAAGTAGATAAATAGGTGCCGCTTTGGTGGGAAGGTAACAGTGTTCCGTGTGCCGTGGTGTTTAGTCATGCTGGCCACATGACCACGGAAAAAGTCTTTGGACAGCGCTGGCTCTTCAGCTTGGAAACGGAGATGAGCACCGCCCCCTAGAGTCGGATTCGACTGGCTTTCGAGCAAGGGAAACCTTTACTTAGGATCAGACAAAGAAATATAATCACATTGTCTGTTCCATAAAACTTAATGCACATGAACAGATAGGCTCAATGTTTGTAAAACCCTTGTTTTTTGTAACACTAGTAACTATATGTAAATAAACTTCTTTAATTTAAGGTCTTTTACTGCTAAACACAACGGATGAAATGGGTGCTTACTGTAGTGTATTCAATAGCTGCCATTGAATGCCTATGTCTGATGAATCATCTCATTGGAAAGCTATGTTAAGCTTCGTCCTGGGCTAGGATGCAAATACACCCAATCGTATTGCTAGCCCAGGAAGCACTTTGCCAATCACCTTACAGCAAGCTCCCTGAGTGGGAGCACCGTGATTGGTCCTTATGACTTCAACCTTATTGGTTGTTATGTGTACAGTGGGTGTGGCTATATTAGCCGGGAATGTTTAAAAGCAGGACAGCTGCAATGTTAAAGCTGTTCTGGCTATCAGATGTCGATCCATGTTGAAGAAGTGTTTGAGTTGAAGAATAAAGTTGTGTTCTTGCTGAAATCACTCTCCGACTATTTGTTAAGCCCACGACTTAAAACTTACTCTTGACCTTAGATCCATTATGAGCAATGAACTGGAGGATGCGTTAAGAGGCAATTATCGTATGTGTCACTTTTGTTTTGAAGGATCAACATTCTTTATGGATGGAGACCAGGAAGTCTTCTTGGAACTCTGGGAAGTCCTCGTTCCCCCTTCAGCCTGGGAGTGATGAGGCTGCGTCAACCGAGAAGCTTCACATCCATTTTGCCACCTTCCCCTTCAAGCGCAGTAGTGCAAGGAAGCCCCCGTCTGGCTCGACTCATTCTTATGTGTGTATGTTCAGTTCTCTCTTAAATCACCCATTTGACAGCAGATGTGTTTCTGTCCCTGCGGGCAGCCAGTTAAGGACCTGGTACCACCACCACCACCTTCCAAGTAAGTCTTCCATTCAGGGTTGTGTCTCTGACCTTCCGCTTAGGGCACCAAAACTGTGTCTGGGCTGTACTGTTTTGGGGCGGCAGTGTGACCGAATGTTCCTCTGTGTGCAAAAATGCCTTCTGTGTATCGGACCAGAGAGTTAAGACCATAAAGAACCTTAGCCCTGCTGGATGAGTCCAGAGGCCCATCCAGCCCAGCCTCCTGCCTCGCACAGAGGACCCAACCAGCTGCCTCTCGGAAGCCCACACCCAGGAGGACTCTGTGGCCGCATCTCCCCCCCCGCCCCCCCCCCCAGCAAGTGGCACCAAGAGGCCTCTTAGGTCTTCATTTGTGTTCTGTACCCTCGGCCCTTCTGGCTGGGACTTCAGGCGGGTGAGGCAACCCACGGAGGGAGGCAAGGCGGTGGATGGGGTGGGGCATTCGGGAAATGGCACGAGAGGCGAGAGGCGTCGGGTTGCCGAACCCACCAGGGAGTCTAAAAAAAGAGACACCCCCTCCTTCCTTCCTTCCTTCCTGCCTTGGAGCTGCCTGCCAAGCCACCTTCCTGCACTGGGCTCTGGGCCGGTTCCCCATGAGCTGCTGTTGGGTCTGGCTTTGACAGAACGGGCCCCTTCTGTTCTTGGGGGGGGGGGGGCCAGAGCAATGCTCCCTCTATAAGCTGTGGAATCTTGTGAGCAAAATTCTACTTTGTGAGCCGCTGGCATTTAAGTGGTGAGCGAGCAATTTGGCTGCTGTATGAATGGTTTTGCTCTGGAGCCCTCCTTCCCGAGCTGAGACAAAAACGTGTGAGCCGGAGGCTAAAAAACTGTGAGCTGGCTCACACTCGCTCAGCTTAGAGGGAACTCTGGTCCAGAGGCTGCTGCTGCTGCCCTGTCACATGTGCCCCGCTGGCATGGGCTGCTTTCCCCGTGGCTTTTCAGAAGTGGCTCGGGGCGCTGTTTGTAACTTTCAGTGGCCTCACCGTGGCAGCCTTCCGGAAGAGGGCGGGCAGGACACCCTGCGGGTGGGCCCCCCGGGGGCTGGCGTGGCTGGCCAGAGCCCAATGGGGTCCATCTCCTCTTGTCTTCCGGGTAACCAGTGCAAAGAGGAAATGTTGCATCAAAGCACCAGTTTGGTTATAGGGAGGTAACTCCTACTTTCTTTGATGAATTATTAAAAATAATTATAGTGATTTCGGCTAGTACATAATGGTGAAAATGTCTCATCAAAAATGAATCATTAAGGGTCCAATTACACTGAAGTGGGGAGGGGGGGAAGGAACACGTGGTGACTGGCTGTTGTTAAGTGTCAAGAAGGTAGGGCAGAGGCCGCCTGAGAGGGATGGCTATGCTAAGCTATGCTAAGAAAGTGGCCCACCTGTGCATCCCTGGAGGTGCCCACCTGGGTGCAGGGGGGGAGCCCCCCCCCCCGGATCCCAGGGCCCAAAAGGCCAGCACTTGAAGAAGGGAGAAGGGGTTTAAACTTTAATCTCCTTCTCTCTAGAGTCGCGCCGCAGCAGTAGCACGATTTCCTATTGAATCCTACGGCCCCATAGAATACAATGGAAAGAGCCTGCCGCCGCTGCGCTACCCCCCCCCCCGCCTTAGCAGAGAGGCTTTTGAAGATGCCGCCCCCCCATTTTGCTTCCCCTTCCCCTGACATCACTTCCGGTGATGTCAGGGGGCGTGGCATATGCCAATGAGTCCCTGGTGTGCGGAACTGCCCCTCTCATCCCCCCCCCCCCCGCCCCACGCAGGCCGGGAGTCCATCCGCAGTGCCCGGGAGTGTGGGTGGGGGGGGAGGTTTGCCCTGAGCGGAAGCTGTGGAAAGAGGCACCGCTGCTGCAACGTGTTGGGTGAAGGTGCCGCAGTTTATTCGGGAGAGGCGCCCTCCTTTGTCTTGGCAGACGGGGGCCGGGAGGGGGGTCTTCCTCCTCTAGCTGCCGCCTGGGCGGGGGGCCACCTCCAGCCGCTTCCAGCCCTTGATGGGGGGGAATTGGCTGCTCGTGAGGGTGACGTGCAGCTGCCGCAGGCCGCTCTTATAGGGTGTCAGCTGGAACTTGATGCCGCCTTTTTCCTGGGCCTGGAGGGAGCCCAACCTGCGGGTCCAAAGTGAGGGAGTCACTGCCAGCCAGGCGCCCGGCCCTGCCCTCCCAGCACCGGCAGGAGGAGTCTCTTAAACAACCCCCCCCCCCCCCCCCCCCCGGGCTCCGTGGGGTTCTTCCCCCC